AGGCAGGTTGGAATTTGAGGTCTGAACTCAACCACATTGATTACCTGCTATGTCAGTTATCAACTTACTGCCTCTCAGCTCTGAATGCACTGTTATATCTATATGTATACTCTGTAATATATAATGGAATTCCTTTACTCATTCTTTAAAGTGAACATGATATTAAGCTTTCTCAGTAGAGGGCACTGGAGGGACAATGTAGTAAGAGGCTTCTTCCTGCCTTTTCTGGTGTGTGCTGGAGGTCAGCAGTGTGAGTGGGAGAACATCTATTGGAATCTGCCCTAGTGATAAACTCAGAACCTGGTCCCTTTGCAAACCTGCAGCCTTGGCCTGGCTATAACTATTCTGCAGCTCTCTTGACCCAGAAAACAGAGCTCTTCTATAGCCCATGTTCTCTGAAGGCCTCCTGCCCATGCTTGTATCCAGACTATCTCTGAAAGCCTCCATGTGACCTGCCTGTGGCCCTGTTACATACAAAGCTGCCACTCCTTCTGCAAGCCCCTGTGTTCCACGTATTCTGAAGGCCTTCTGCCTCTTCTAGCACCTGGACTCCCACTACATGCCCACGCCACCAGTTGCTGATCAGCTGTTCCCCCACCTGCACTCTGGGGAGTGACCTACTGGTTGCCCAGCAACTCCAGACCAGCCTGACCAAAGGAATTATCTGCTATGTAGTGGGTTGAACCACAACTTCTAAAATGAAGTCTAAGTCCCTTCTAATTTTGTCCTTCTTTGGGTACTCTAACCTCAACCCTGGGGTATAAATGGAAAGATAGAAAATACTAGCAAAGAAACAGAAGATATAAAGAACCAAATGAAATTTTAGAAATAAACCACACAATCATTGAAATAAAATAGTCACTGAATACACTCATAAACCTAAGGGAGATGACATAGGAAAGAGTTAGGAAACTGGGAGATAGATTACTGAATATTACCAATATGAAAAAAAAAGAGAGAAGAAAATATTTATAAAAAATGAACAGGCTGGCCAGCTGTGAAAAAACAAAAACACAAAAAACTAACAAAATGGGCTGGCTGTTTAGCTCATTTGGTTAGAGTGCAGTATTATAACACCAAGGTCAAGGGTTTGGATCCCCATACCAGCCAGCTGCCAAAAAAACAAAACAAAAACCCCAAAAGGAATAGGGCCTCAGGAATCTATGACATAATACTGAAAGGTCTAATATTTGTGTCATCAGAGTTCAAGATGAAGGGGAGAAAGAGTGTAGTTCGGAAAAAAAATACTTGAAGAAATTACTGAAAAATTCCCAAATTTGGCAAAATATGTAAACCAACTGATTAAAGAAGCTAAGCAAGCCCCAAACAGGATAAACCCAAAGAAATCCATGCCCAGGCACATCATAATTACCCTGAGAAAACTGAAGACAAAGTAAAAATCTTGAAAGTAGCAAAAAATAATACATATGGAGACTATGATTCAAATTACTGCAGATTTCTCATCAAGAATCATGGATGCCAGTAGAAAGTGGCACAACATTTTTAAAGTGCTGAAAGAAAATAATGGTCAACTCAGAATTCTATATGTAGCAAAAATAATCTTCAGGAATGGAGGAAAGAAAAAGACAACCTCAGATGAAGGAGAACAGAATTTGTCAGCATACTTCCTTTAAAATAGTTGTTTCTATATGTAGCAAAAATAATCTTCAGGAATGGAGGAAAGAAAAAGACAACCTCAGATGAAAGAGAACAGAATTTGTCAGCATACTTCCTTTAAAATAGTTGATAAGGAAAGTTTTATAGACAGAAAGGAAATGATACCAAAAGGAAACTTGAACAAGAAGAAAGGAAGAGCAATAGATATGGCAAATATCAGGGAAAATATAACATTGACTGATATAATAAGAGACAACCACAGCAACCACATAAAGGGGGCCTAGGGGGATTTATATGGTAGTAAGTTTTCTACATCTTGCTTGAAGTGGTAAAATATTGTTTCTAAGTAGACTTTGAAAAGGTAAGTATATATCTTTTAAGTCCTAGAGCAACCATAAAGAAAAAAAAGAGAGAAAAAAACTACACAAAGACACAGTCAAAAAAATACTAGAGAAAATAAAATGGAATACCAAAAAATGTTCAGATAATACAAAAGAAGGCTGAAACGTGTAAAAGAAAAACAAAAGAAGGATCAAACAGAAAGCAAATAATAAAATGGCAGACCTCAATCCCAACCTATCAGTAATTATATTAAATACAAGTGGCCTAACCATACACCAGTTAAAAGACAGAGACTGTCAGAATGGGTTAAGTAAATGATCCAACAATATTCTGTTTACAAAATCTCACATTCAAATATAACCACATATTTAGGTTAAAAGTGAAGGAATGGAAAATCAAGAAAGTGAAAAGATAACTCACAAAATGGGAGAAAATTTTTGCAAATGATATATCTGATAAGGGAGTTATATCTAAAATGTATAAAATACTATTTACAACTCAACAATAAAAAGACAAATTAACCCAATTAAAAATGGGCAAAGAATCTGAACAGACGTTTCTCCAAAGAAGATATATGGATACCCCAAAAGCATGTGAAAAGAGGTTCAACATCATTAGCCATCAGGAAAATGCAAACCAAAACAATGAGATACCACTTCACACCCACTAGGACAGCTATAATAAAAAAGACAGATAATAAGTGTGGACGAGGATGTGGAGAAACTGGAACCCTCATACACTGCTGGTGGAAATGTAAAATGATGCAGCTGCTTTGGAAAACAGTCTGGCGGTTCCTGAAGATGTTAAACACAGAGTTCTACTCCTCTGTGTTTACCCAAGAGAGCTGAAAACAAATGTCCACACAAAGACTTGTGCACCATTTCCACCACTGTCAAAAAATCTCCTATAGGTAAAAGAGTTTTTGAGGGAGACAAAAGACAGTCCCAGACATCAGAAATTAAAGGAGAGAGGGGAATAAAGTGGAGTCAGCATTGTCAGCTCTTCAGAATACAATCGTGGTTTTCAAATGCTCACTGCACAGCCTTGGCCAGTTCTCCAACGCATACTGGAAAGCCCTTTATAGAGAGGACACGCTTGAGTCAGAAGGTTAAATAGGTTAAGTATTTGGTTTTGTATCCCTGCTGACTGCTATTTAGAAGTGTCTGAAATTGGAGACAAAAATATTCACCAGCCCTACTATTTACCAACAGACACTCTGTGTTTGTGCAAATTAGGAAATGGATTTAGTCAGATTTTGATGCTGCAGGTAGGGGAAATTCAAAACAATATTTAGAAAGTTACTGTACTTTGATAAAGGACATAAGTATAACTTAGTGAAATGAACATTGAAATACATTTTTGTGTCCCGATATATATACATATTTTGCAATGAGTGAATAATAACTTAAATGGTAAACATGAAGTGGGGAAAAAAAGAAACCACAGAGAAGTCTTACTGAGTGGCCTGAGAGTGAAGCCATCTGGATGCAAATCTTTCATTTACTATTCATTCATTCACTCACTTATCCATTCAGCAAATATTTATGGAGGGCCTACTATGTGCCAGGTACTATGCTAAGTGCCAGGGATAGAGACGTAAACTTTCCTGGGCCTGCCGTGTTTCATTTGGTGAAACAGAGTAGGGACTAAATCTTCTCTAAAGTCCCACTAAGATGTGATGGGCAAGATGTACCTGAGTGTGACTTACCTTGCACTGGGAAAACCAACTAAACAGAGACCCGCAGCTTGTGAAGGTTTATGCTACAGGGAAACCTCAGAGGACATGTCTCTAGACTGTGTGGTCAGTCCTCGGTGGGAGGATGCTCAGTGGGGCTCACTCAGTGCGATGTTTGGTTTGTTACTTTTGCGGCTGGTGTGTAACCTCAGATAACGGGGAGTGGGTAAGATGGGGGGGAGAGAGGGGGACTGGCGGTTGCAGAGACTACCCTGGAGCAGAGGAATGAATGGGGTCGGCTTGACTGAGAGGAGAGGGCAGGAGGAGGATGGAAAAGGCGTCCCTGAGGCGAAGACTTGAGCTGATGACTTCCTGAAGGAAAACATAGTTATGTTCCTCATGTCCTGTACTTGAGGGAAGGAAAGAGCACTTAAGTTTAGAAGAAATTTCTATCAAATAAAAGGGGGCTTTACTGGATCATTCTCAATTAAGTAGAAAAGTAATGATAAGATTGCCTGTGTGAACTTCTGAACTGTTCTATTTGAGAGCGGGAGAGAGAACATATGGTTACATGTGGGCAGTGATTAATTCATACAACTTGCCCTTGAGTATGTTATAACTGACTGGGAAGATGAGACGCATACACGAGTCAGTTCAATAGAACGTGGAACCAGGAGGCTTGAGGAATAGGCTGGGGGCTTTGGGAACCCAGAGTCCAGCTGACGGGTAGGGAGACAAAGGTGATGTTCTAGAGAAGATGAGCCCAAGGTGAGTGTGGAACTGTGACTGACTTACACAGAGCACTGTCAGACTTTAGGAACGTTGGCAGACTGCCAGCTTGGAAGTGGGAAGGCACATCATCATTACTCAAGATGGGAGGTTCGTTCATATTTCATTTTTTTTTTCCTTTTTGTCTTTTTTTACTGACCAGTAACGGGATCGCAACCCTCAGTGTTGCGCCCGCACCGCGCTCAGCCGGTGAGCGGGAACCAGTCTCCACATGGGATCTGAACCCTCGGTGGGAGCACCGCCACGCTCCCAAGCGGCGTACTCTCCAGTGAGCCACCGGGCCGGCCCATGTTCATATTTCATTTTTTTTTTCCTTTTGGTCTTTTTTTACTGACCAGTAACGGGATCGCAACCCTCAGTGTTGCGCCCGCACCGCGCTCAGCCGGTGAGCGGGAACCAGTCTCCACATGGGATCTGAACCCTCGGTGGGAGCACCGCCACGCTCCCAAGCGGCGTACTCTCCAGTGCACCACCGGGCCGGCCCATGTTCATATTTCATTTCATAGTTCATGTTAAAACAGTTTTCTTCTCGGTGTATATGAAGCTGACATATATATATTTTTTTAAATAGGTAATTTCATGCTCCCAAAATGGGACATAAAGTGGTCGTATTTGACGTTTCTGTCATCAGAGCCTTGTGGGAAACTCGTGTCAAGAAGCACAAAGCTCGGCAGAAGCAGGAAGAAGAAAGGCTGGAGAAAAGCGCATTGGAAAAGTACGTGTCTTCTGTACGAAGTCTTGTAGCTTGCTTAATGAATAGAGATTTGGACAGGTAACAGTTGTGTTGTGGAGGAGGAGGATTTTCTTTTGGGATTTCTCACTGTTGGTGACATTTTCCTCATTGAACTTCAGAGCCCTCACACTGTTGCCCAGTCACACGGGATCTGTAAAACAGGAACACTCAGTTATAAGGACCTACAAACAATCCATGCACCATGCTAGGCGTGACACGCTAAATCCCTCTGCAGTCAATGCTGTAGGAGACCGCGTAGCCGGCCTCACTGAACTAGCTCACTGGCTGCCTGATGCTCTCCACACCTGTGTCAGCCATGAGGGCTCCCAGGGCAGGCTGGGCCACTTTCTGACATACACTTCAGCCCTCACCCTTGGAGCTGAATTTTAGATAAGATTCATTGTGTTGGTGTTGTGTTTATTTGGATTGAAATGATGTAATTTGTCTATCATATAAATTCATGAAATGTGAGTAAAAGAAGGTTATCATGTGTACAAAAACTAAGTTGAGTGCTTTGGAAAAACTACTTTTATGAGAAATACGAATGACATAAAATTGGATTAGCACCATATCAGACTGATAAAAGTATGACAAGCAGAAAGGTTGTACATTGAGGTGGCCTTGAATATAGCTGTGATTTTTATTTTTTGTGAAGAAACCAAAACTGGAACTCTTAGATGGTGCATTATGGGTATCATTTATACAAAAAAAGGCACACTGGGATTCTGATTGGCAGACCTACTTCCAAAGGAAGTCCCTGACCCTACATCAAGTTGGCAAATGGTGATATATTTGTACGCTTTAAGTTAAAAACAAAATGTGTAAGGTGTGAATGTTTCTATATTCCTGGCTCTCCACTTTTATGAGCTTCTTGGCTTGAGTGAATACGTATTCTGATCATACTTGATGATTAAGCTGTCGCTGCATGCATCAGAGCAGTTCTAGTTTGTTATCTTCATTCCCAATTTGCAGACAAGCAGGTTGGGACATATATAACTTGTCTAATTTAGACAGCTGGTAAGTAGAGGATTTGGCCAAGCCCTTTCTCCTACATAATGCTGTGATCACAGGTAGTTGGAACATCTTTTCACCTGCTCCTAATCTGAGATTATCCAATATGATGTGAATTTTTAATTTAAGAATTAGAACCCTTAAACTGGGCAACTTTCATGGCAATGGGTCTGAGTGATCTACACTAACATGAATCACACAAGGTCCCAGAGCCTTGTGAGTCCAAAGTGGCTCTCAGCTCTGCTCCAACTTCCTCACCACTCCTAGCATCTGGGATTACTTTAGGGTAGAACAAGCTTAGCTGCATGCGGACCCAAGGCCTTGGGGGTTTTAGGAAAGTGTCTGTCACTGAGGTAACCTCCTGAGGTTCCGGGGACCCTGCAGAAATCAGGGTCTGCAAGCTGTGTTCTCTCACCTGCTTTGGAGTGGTACCAGCTCCTTCAACTCTGTCTTTCATTGTGGTGTTAAACAGCTTCACACATCTCACATATATGAGAATGACCCTGAATTAGGCTCAGTGCCATTGGGCTTGTGCTGTGTCTCATCCTAACCTAAGATGGAAAACTTCTTGGGGATTTGTTAGGCTTTTCCAGCTCAAGGTAAGAAGAACAGCCACCAAATTGGCTGGGCAGGTAAGGAAGAATGTGGGTGTTTAAGAAAGAAGCTTTTAGTTTCTCAGGACCTTCAGAAATGAGGATAGTAAATTTGCCTTCTTCACAGGTGTTTTTGAAGTTCTAAAATATAATTCATACTGTGATTATCAGTGCTCTTTGAAGGTTAACTTTTAGTTTCTCAGGATCTGTTTTCTGTGCAGAAATTAATACAGATACTCTTCTACCTATGACAGGGTTACATCCCAATAAAGTAAAAAATATCGTTAAGTTGAAAATGCATTTAATACCCCAATAAACCCATCGTAAAGTTGAAAAATATTAAGTATCACCATTGTAAGTCGGGGACTGTCTGAAAAACTGATGACTGCCTCATCATTAAAGACAATTATCTGGTTAACTTAAATTTACTAAAACAAGTAAAACCCTCCCATTTGTTTTGTTACCTCACTTCGTGGTGTTTCATCTTGTAACGCTGTATTTGTTCCATGACGTATACAAGGAGTCTTCAAAAAGTTCATGGAAAATTTGTATTATCTTTTAATTCTATTTTGCCATGAACGTTTTGAAGTGCCCTCATATACCAACATTTAAAAGTTATAAGTAGAGATAAAATACAGAATATCTCTCTGAATGAAACATGATCATTTAGAGGGAGAAATAGAAGAGCTGTTGTTAAGCTCTAAGTGAGGGATTTCTTATCCAATGAGCCTATTTGCTATCTGGGCTAGGGTTCATTTCCTAAGGAAAAGGTATTTTATTTGCACATTATGGAATTTTATTAATAGAATTCAAATGGCATTGTTTTGATTCAAGGGGAAGATATTATAGTCACTTATATGGGTGATAAAACACAAAGACAATGACCTTTTACTTACCTCAATTGCTCTCAAGGAAGAGAATCAATTGTAAAAAATAACTATATTTTCATCTTGACTTTTCTAGCATTAGGTTTCAGAGAGAATAAGACACAGAACATTTAAAAAAGAAATACAGAATAGATTTGACATATAATTATTTTTAATGGGATATGTCTGATTTCCTTTTTTCCTCCATTTTATGTTGGCTGTACGAAGATATGTAAAATATTTATACCAATTTGTAATTTGTGATATAGGAAATATGTATTCTGTAGGGCTTAGTCATTTCTTTTCTTTCTTTTTTTTTTTTTTTGGTGGCTGGCCTGTATAGGGATCTGAACCCTTGACCTTGGTCTTATAACACCATGCTCAAACCAACTGAGCTAACCAGCCACCCCTTGATATCATTTCATTACGTCGCCAGGATCCACCTTCAGGTTCAGTCTAAGAAATGAAGAAAGAAAAGTTAGAGGCATTAATCTGAAAAGTGCTCAGCACAAGTGCTCAAAGAACTTGCAGTGGCTGTGCTGTTGGTTGTTAAATATTGAAGAGATTACCTCTAATATAAGTTCAAGCAACATGTCTCAGACCTGGGGTCTGCACCTATCCTTGACTGCTACAGTCAGATCTAGATCTAAGGTGGATATTTAAATTTTATTTTTATCATATAGTTATAAAAATATTTAAATCATACAGAAAAGCAACAATTCCAAGCCCTGCAACATTTCCCTGAAGAGCCCACTTCTAGCTCTTTTAGTATTTTCTTCTGGTATTAAATTCATATTCCTTCATGTTCTGCTATTTTAAAATTTATTACTTTTTTAAACATTACTTATAGACCTCACATGTAGATTGAAGCCCTAACCCGGTGACCACTGGGTGCTTTTCTCAGCTCAGACTGCTGTGATTGAAGACCTCTGTAGCTGTGCCAGCCAGTGCCATCAACAAAATATTGTTTTTCGAATGTTCCTGCTTCCCCAGCTTAATGGCAGCATGAAACTCCAGCAATATCCAAAGTGGTTTCTTAAGAGCAAAAAGTCTGATTAAGAAGGTGACATTTACACATTGACCTGGGGATCCAACTCTGCAGAAGTCTGGGAACCAGGGTTCCAGGCAGACACAACAGCAAATGCAAATACCATGAGGCAGGAGTATTCCTGGATGTTCAAGGAAGAGCAAGGAGGCCAGAGTGCCTGGGCCAGAAAAGCAAGTGAGTGGGTAGGGAGGTGAGGTCATACTGGCAGGGGAGGGGCACAGATCTGTAGGGCCTTTAGGTCGACGTGTGTGAGATGAGAAGCCAAAAGAGGTGTGGGCAGAGGTGTCATGTGATGCGATCAGTGTGACAGCTTACTCAAACTGCCGGATGAGTTTAGACCACAGGGAGGCAGGCTGGTGTCAGCAAGTAGACGATGGTGGTGTGGACCAGGACAGAAGCCGTGAAGGTGATGAGGAGTGGCTGGATTCTGGTAGAACTGACCACATTTGGTGATGGATTTGATATAGGGTATGAAAGAAAGCGTGGAGTCAAAGATGACCCTGAGGTTTCTGGCCAGAGCAACTGGAGGCCTTTTTACTGAGATGGGGGAAGAAGCAAGTTTTGGGGCTGCCTATCAGGAGTTTGTGTTGGAACATGGCAACTTGAACAGTGTTGTAGACATCCAGGTGGAGAAGTTGGGGAGGTAATTTGATATAGGAGGCTGGATCCATGAGGAAATCTTGGCAGGAGATATAAATTTGGGCATCGTCAGCATAAAGATATATCTAAAGCCATGAGACTGGAAGGCATCAAAAGAATGAATGTAGACAGAGGAGAGGCCCAAGGCAAGCGCAGGTGTTGGGGCACTTGGAAATTCAGTGGTTGAGAGGGTGCGGAGGAGGCTGCGCAGTGTCTGGAGAGGTAGGCGGGTAACCAGCCGAGGGAGGTGTCCTCAAGCTGCAGGGAGGGGAAGGGATGGGCTGTGCCAAAGCTGCAGAGGGTCCGATGAGATGAGGACTGGGCCTTGACCATGGGATTTGGTGAAGTGGAGGTCCTGGATGACCTTGATGAGAACAGCTTCAAAAGGTGAGGGTGACCAAAGTGGGCTTAACAGAGAGTGGAGGGGAGGAGAGTCATAGATAGGAGCGAGGACAGCTCTCTCGTGGAGTTTTGCTGTAAAGCGGAGCAGAGAAACAGACTGATGGGAGCCATGAGGTTGAGGTGGGATCTCTTTAAGATGGGAGACACAGGTGCATGCTGTGCGTGGCAGAGAGGGATCCACTAGAGGGAGCACTGACGAGGGAGGACTGCTGGAGCAATGTCCTTGAATCAGTGAGAGGCTGGGTCCAGCAGACATGGGGAGGGGCTGGCCCTTGGTAGGATCTTGAGGTGTTCTTTCCGAGGAACAGAAGGGAAGGCAGAGTCTACAGGAACAGATGCAAGTAGGTGCTGTGGATGTGGTGCTGGGAGTTTGTGGAAGTTCGGTTCTTTTTCTTTTTCCTCCGTGACTCAGGAAGTGAGGTCGTGAGTGAGACTGGGGTAGGTGGTGATGGAGGTTTGATCGAAAGGGAGAAAATGTGGAAAGCTATAAAATGATAGGTCAGAAAATTACCAACAAGCAGGTACTGAAGGGTGGTGAGGAGGCTGAGAGTCCTGAAGCAGCTCCAGTGTCTGATTGGACCTCGGGTTCATCTACAGGAGGGAACTTTCCCAAGGTGGCAGACGGACGACATTCTAAAGTCAGGTGTTTTATACACTGGGGCTGCCTCTGTATTTTTATTCAGATGCCCTTGAAACATCAGCAAATTTCTGTGGCCCTGTGTTTTTTAAAAACTGAGACTGGCACAATATAATTTCAAAGGAAATTATGATTAATCAAATGCATAGGTGGTTTTGGTACCAATTTTAGACGAAAATTCTATCTAAGTCACCCTCTCCATTTTTTTAGTCAAAGTTACCAACAATTCACAAAAGGATTTAAAGTTTCCTCTATGTCCCCCAGGGCAAGGAGGAGAGTGGAGGGGAGGGCTTAAGTGGCCTGCAGTTGGGAAATCAGGTCCAGTAATGGGAAGGACTGAACCTGTGCTCGGGTGGCCCGGCTCGCTTCTCTAGGCAGGTGACGGCCATTCGCCAGGAGGGTAACTGTAGCCTCTGCTGTCCATCTTAGGATAAAGGACGAGTGGAACTTCGTGGCTGAGTGCAGAAGGAAAGGCATCCCCCAGGCCGTGTACTGCAAGAATGGCTTCGTAGACACCAGTGTGCGGCTTCTGGAAAAGATCGAAAGGAACTCTCTCACGAGGCAGACTTCACTTTCCAAGGACAGAGACAAACGGAGCAGTCCGTTTGTGTTTGAACTTTCGGGGGAACACTGGAAGGTGAGCTGATGAGCTTCTTTATCTGCAGCAGGTGGTTGTCAATGCAGCACTGTGGCTGATGTCCGCTGCTAACCTGAGCTCAAGGCACTGGCCTTGGCTGAAGGAATGCTCTTGCCTTTGTGGAGCTTTCCAGTGGGCGTGGAGGAGCTGATGATCTGCTCTGAAACGCAGTGTAATCCTGGAAAGAGCAGTCCGAGGTCGAGCAGCAAGGACCCCTGTGGCCCTCCCCAGGACGGCACAGTCTTTAAGGATGCTTAATTCTGCTGTTTCCCGGAGGAGCTGATGATCTGCTCTGAAACGCAGTGTAATCCTGGAAAGAGCAGTCCGAGGTCGAGCAGCAAGGACCCCTGTGGCCCTCCCCAGGACGGCACAGTCTTTAAGGATGCTTAATTCTGCTGTTTCCCCCCCAGACGTTTAAAATGACTCTGCCTTTAAAAAAACAAAACAAAACAAAACAACCCCCCCACACACACTTGATTTAAATGTCTGAGCCTTTCGTTTATCTAACGCCCCCAGACGTTTAAAATGACTCTGCCTTTAAAAAAACAAAACAAAACAAAACAACCCCCCCCACACACTTGATTTAAATGTCTGAGCCTTTCGTTTATCTAACATCTATCAGTGGGCAATGACTTATTGAGTGTCACAGTGCTGTGGAGCAGCACGGGGATTTCAGCAGACCCTTTATCCAATTTTCCTGTCCTGAGAGTTAGAGGCCACCACAGTGATGCCCCTCTTTCTTTCCTCAGGTGTTTACAGGTGACGTCCCAGTTCCCACTTCCCCAACTTGCTGCTTAGCTTGGGGAGGCATCTCCAGAGGCTGCCTTTGATCTGACATTTTCTGGTTGAAGCGGCACCCGGGTGTGTGGGATAAGTCGGCATGTAGGGGAGGCTGCCACGGGCAAGGGTTTCAGTGGGACAGGGCTCTCTAGGACCTGCTCTTCATCCTGTTTTACACTGCCGCTTTGTAGCTGCAAGGACTGGATGGGGAGACTAAATATTTGGGATGGTCCTGGGGCTGTTCTTTATGAGCCGTGTGACCTGAGGCAGTTTACTCTACTTTTGTGTTTTATCAACCTCATCAGTAAAATGATGCAAATGCTTGCCCTGACCACTTTGAAGGCTGTTGTGATGATTAGATGAGTGAATATTCTGTGAGGTTTATGATCCTCCAGATTGTTACTGTAAAACCTTAGATATTCTTCCTCCTGCACCCCGTCCCTGAGATGAGTAGGTACACAGATACTGCCTATTGGGCATGTCTGGATTTCTAGTTAAGTGGCATTGATAAATCATTCTTGTGTGCCAGCATCAAACATGGTCCTGGGCTACACACTTTCCCTGGAGGGGATCACTGGTCCAACTGGAGAACCTGCAGAGAGCCCTTGTGGCTCATAAACTACCTTTTGAATAGCATTTTAAAGAGCATTTAATGAGTGCCTAGTATGGTGAGGGGATAGGAATTGGTACTGACTCAGCAGGCTCAGGTGCCCCGCTGTGAACTACGTGGATGTCTTCATCACTTGCAGCCTCTGTCCCCATGCTCAGTTCCCTAAGCTGGTGCTCTGTTCTGATTGGAATCTACTCTGTAGCTCCAGGCATGCATTAGTGTGAACTTTGGTTACTGTTTTCATTCCCCAGAGAGACTTATGCTTCAGCCTTACCTCCAATGAAGGAGTGAAATGCTTTATTAAGGCATTTTCAACCTCTTAAAGTGCTCCACAGCTGTGAGGGAGTTCTGGCCTCTAAGATCACATCAGGCAGCATGCCTGGCCCCTGCAAGAGGTCACTGAGGGTGGATGGGGCAGTGGAGCTCCTGATGCCTTGGGGACTGGGTGGAGAGAGAACTGCTCCAGGAAGCAAGCCATGTAGTCTGGTGTGGCTTCCACTCAGATCAGCAAGGCTGAGATGGTTGGTCAGGGCTGAGTGACGGGGCAGGTAGTAACTAGGTGGTCAGCTGGAGAGGCAGTCAGCTGAAGAGGCGGTCGCACAGGGCCTGTGCTTGCTTTAGTACTCTGCTGTCACCATCTTGAACTTCCTAGTTTTTAACAAGGGGCTTGCATTTTTATTTTGTATTAGGCCCTGCAAACTGTGTACCTGGTCCTTACTGTAAGTGGGTTTCAGTTTTCCTCTTTCAATGGGCCTTAATAATGTCCACTTTGCCTATCTTATGGGACTGTTGTATGAAACAGTACTAGAATGTAATTACTATTGTAAGTTTAAATCTTAACCCCCCACACAATAGCAATCATCACAAAGCATGTTACAAGTACCGAGCACTATACAAAAGTGTCCTGGTGAATTTCTGATTGCTTCCCCCGCCGTGGAGTTCTCCACCCTCCCCTCTGCGCTGCGGCCACTTTGCTGATGATGCGCCGTGGTCAGCTTCATGAGGCCAGGGGACCTGCATGCCACCCCCCTCTTTGCCCCCTTCAGTGCTGAGCTCACTTCACCTGCAGTGGGGCTCAGTAAACACTTGTGAATTGGATTTCTTCAACTGATGTCTTTAAGCACTTCTCAACACCTTTACAATTTTATTCCCAGAACTCTTGAGCTGGGAGGGCTTGCATACCTCTGAGGTCTTCACCATCACTTCAGAGGTGAAAGCCCAGGGAGGTGGCAGGCCTGGCCTGGAACTCGGGTCTCCCCCTGACTGTCTTTCTGGTGCTCTTTTCCATTACGGATTCACAGAAACACCTGGAAATCTGGTACAGCAAATTTCTAAAAGCCTAATGCTCTCGTGTATGCCCTCTCACTTGTTTTTTAAATAAACACTTGTTTTTACATGGCTTTGTGCACACTGAGGAACTAGTTCTGACTGATGTCATTTATTGTTTCAGGAGCTCCCAGAGACGCTGAAGGAGCAGACCCACCTGAAAGAGTGGCACATAAGCAACACCCTGATTCAAATCATTCCTACATATATTCAGCTCTTTCAAGCCATGAGAATTCTGGATCTGCCAAAAAACCAAATCTTGAGTCTTCCCTCTGAAATTGGTACGTTCCTTAGCAGGAGTCTTCAGGCCTCTTGTCTGTGGTAAGCAGGCAGCTGGTGGGCAGGCGACCCTGCTCAGACACCTTATTTTTACCCCTCCACCTGCCCCAGAAGGTCACTGGGCAGGGCCGTTTTGAGTGTTCCCAGAGCTGCTTGTTCACAGCGTCCCCTCTGGGTGGCAACGCCATGATTTCACCTGCATAACTCAGCACATTCAGACGTTTGTCAATTGCTTAGAAACTAGAAATCTGACAAGTGAGCAATACTTTGTCTAGGAACTTTTTGTTTATTTCCTTTTAATTTGAGAAATAAAAACATACAGTAATATAATTATTGTAAACAAAATAAATTATTCCTAAATATTAGTCCATTGATTAGTTTAGCATATTATTATTTCTTTTTGATTGATCAAGTTCTCAGTCATTGTCGTTCAGTTACCTCATCTTATAGTGGAGACTGAAGGGATTATTACTGCTCTTTCTCTTGGGGTGTGAGGAGTGGAGGTCTGGGGGCTGTGCAGAGCTTCACTCTCAGCCCTAGGATCAGTGGAGTTGCACGCTCATGTGAAAATTTTCCAGAAGCCAAGACAGTGAGGGATGGAGGGCTGCTGGCTTGGCCTCTGGCATTCATACACTTCTTGCCAGTGTGTCACGACCACAGGGCCCTGACTACCCTTTTACCCAGGCTGATCTCAGGGTTGTTTATGCAGCTGCTCACCTTGAGGGATAAGGTGAAGTCTCCCCCAGACAAAGAGCAGATGTGCTTTGTGCTTGCTGTGGAAGTGGCGGGTTCCCGAGCTCAGTGTTCTTCAGCTGCGATGCACTATGTGGGCAGTGACTATCTGGGCCATCTGGGTCACCTTAGTGGACTTGGTTGTGGGGAACTGATGTAAATTTGCTGTCCTGACCAGGAGTCTCACATCCTCTGCCGGCATCCATGAAATAGTAACAGGAAATGTATTTGCTTGTAAGTGGGGTAAAATCAAATTCTAGACCGACAAGGATAAGTACTTCCGTTTCCTTGCTCAGTTTCCAGGAAGGTAGAAAGGATCTTAGAACTATTATGACTGAAAAGTACCGTTTTTGACAATGTTAGAGGTCATTTACCTCCCGCCCCTTCATTTTACAGGTTGGAGAGACCAGTTCCCAGTGACATTAGCTGACTTAGCCATTATCATTCAGGTGTTAGACTTAGGGACTTCTGGAGAGCCTGGGCTAGAAGCCGGATTTCACTATTTCCAAATCATTCTGGGGTAGGATCACAGTAAAAATAAATAACTGGATAGAGTTTCTGAGGACTGAATTACTTTTAAAAACCTTTTTTAGGTAGAAGGTTCTGTCCTTACACATCTGAGAAGCCACAGTGATTGAACTAGACTCAGGGATCTTTGCCATCCTGTCAACCCAGGCTTGGAAATCCAGTGGTCAGCAGCCACACATGGTGGTCAGCATGGAGCCATCAAAGAGGGGGTCAGGGCATCACAGGAGATGAGACCATGCTCACAGCTCTCTGAAATCTCATCACAGGTGCTCCACTTATGTTTTTATTAGTCCTTAAAATGTCTTTCTTGAAATTATTGCAAGCTGAATTAATGTCCATTCTTTTCTTGAGAGCCAGTTTGATTTGGGCAATGGTTCTCACCTTGGCTACACCTTAAAATCCCCTGAAGAGCCTTAAAAATCTAAATGCCCAGGACCCACTGCAGACCAATTCCACTGGAATCTCTGGGCCCAGGCCCCAAGCATTAGAATTTAAAAAGTCCTTGCATAATTTCTACGGACAGCCAGGGCTGAGACCCACTGGGAGTGAGGATGTTGTCCTTGAGAACCTGGGGCAGGAGCGGAGAGCGATGAGTGAGGGGCATCTGTGGGAGACCAGCATGTGCTTTGGGGCACTGTACCTAATCTCTCTGCTCTTTAGCTTCCTCATCTGTAAGGTGGGGACAATAATGTACTTGATTTATTTAGTTTTGAGGATTAGATAAGATTATAAGCACCAAAGTATTGGGCATGTAGTTGTTACCATTATCCGAAGGCACTCAAGTCATTTTGGAGACATGCTATCATCCCCACGTACCTCATTCACGTGCAGTAGGATTAGATAAGATTATAAGCACCAAAGTATTGGGCATGTAGTTGTTACCATTATCCGAAGACACTCAAGTCATTTTGGAGACATGCTATCATCCCCACATACCTCATTCACGTGCAGCGCAAAACACTGAACATTCTAGGAAGGAATGTGACGTACAGTCATGTCCCTCTCAGTAAGCACTGTTAACAGTTTCTTGGGTGTCAGAATTGTACACGTACCCAAGTACTTCTGTAGATCTAATTGTAGCTATGTCTATTTATGAATGTATATAAACAAGCACATTAAATATACTTATACAAATGGGCTTACACTGTGTTCTCCAGGGTGTGCCTTGCACATTTCCCTGGATGGAGGTGGACTCTAGTGTCAGGCCACCTGGGTCATCTTCTTGAGCAGGTCACTTGCTGGTTTTCAGTTTCCTCATCTGTAAAATGGGAATAGTAATAATACCTACTTCACAGGTTTGTTGTGAGGATTAAATTGATAATACAAAGATAGCATTAGAACAGGTAACCCCCATGGGCCGGCCCGGTGGTGCACTGCTACAGTGCGCCGCTTGGGAGCGCGGTGGCGCTCCGGCCGAGGGTTCGGATCCCACATACAGACCAGCCAATCACTGGCTGAGTGAGGTGCGGGCGCAACACCGAGGGTTGCGATCCCGTTGCTGGTCCCGGTCCGGTACGGGCATGACACTGAGGGTTGCGATCCGTTGCCGGTCACGAAAAAAAGACAAAAAGGAAAAGAACAGGTAACCCCCTAACATTTGCTAGTCATTATTATTATCATTGTCATCGTTATGTTAATGCTATTTTTCAATATCAGAATATCCAAACCTTCCTCATTCTTCCTAATGAGGAGAATGGCCAGGTGGTGATTATGGCATGATTGAACTTGTTCTTCCAATATTTTAAAATTAAATCTAGTGAATTAAACACTGTTCGATTCTAGTCCAACTTTGAGTAACTTGGACAAATTTAAAACTTTTTTGGACCTTAGTATCCTCATTTGTAGGAGAAAGAGTCAGAATGATCTTTAAAACATTTTCCACCTCTAAAATTCTCCAGAAGAATTTTTTTTTTTTTTTGTATGTCAACCTTTGGGGAGGGAAGGGGATAAGAAATTTCAGAAGCTTTAAACACTCTCTAAACTGGATTTAAGTCATACATATATATTTTGTCCAACTTAAAATTTTGGGTCTATTTTAAGTCAACTGAATATAATTCATCCAAATACATTCATAACTTAGGCAAAGACAGATCATTCTCCTCTTCTCATGTGGCCGAGAAATAGATCATATCCCCAGTTTGGAGATTCCTGTGTCATATGAGTATCAAACTTTTCATCATTACATAAGTCATTCATAAGGAAGGGAGATGTTTTTAGAATCATTTGTGTGATGTTGTAACCATTATTTTCTTCTAGTGAGTGATTTTTTTCAGTGCTTACTTCTTGGATACTTTGAGTTATTAACTTGCAGTATTTTTGATACTGGAGGAGAGGGTCTGGGGAGGCCTATAGCCAGCCTCAACCCACCCCATCCTCTACCAGGTTCTTGACTCTGTCCCAGGAAATAACTGAAGAGCAGAGTCACAGCAGAAAGTGAAAACAGGTTTGATACAGAGAATAAGAAATACAGACTTCAAAGGGAAAGTGCAGCCTAGCTCCAGAGACTGAGCAGCAGCTGCAAGTTTAATACAACAGTAAGAAGTACATACTTCACAGACAAAGTTCAGGCTGGCTCAAGAGTGAGCACAGCCTGCTAAAGGCAAGTTCAATACAAAAAGTAAGAAATGCTCACCTCCGGTGAAGTGCGGGCTTGCTCCAGGAGAGTGAGCCAACGGCCCTGCCTTCTTCCTGCATTTGACTTGCATAGTTTGTCTATCTATACATATTCATGCTATCTACTAAATAGTCAAATAAGGGGGTGGTTCCAAGGTTTGTAACCTAGTCTTGCACATGCTCAGTTGGTCTCTTTGGAGCATGTTCATTGGTCAAATTCCATCACATGCACCAAATACACTTAGAATATTCTAGGTGCTCTCTAGCACCTCCGGTGGAAGGTCATTTAAAGAATGAACTCCTTTTTTACTGAGCATGCTCAGTCACTGAGATTACACAAGTCTGCCCCCTGCAGTCTCCATCTCTAAGTGCTGGTGTCAAAAATAGGTGCTACAGGCCACCTTAGTTTAGGACTTGGAGGTGGGGCTTGAGTCCTAGGGGAGTAGTTTGAGCCCTGGGGAGTGGCCTGAAACTCAGAGAAGTGGCCTGAAACCCGATCCCAGGGGGACTGAGTATCTCCTATCTCATTTTGAGTACATCTTTCTTTCCAGACATAAGTATTCTAAACATCTAGAATGAGTCATTCTGTATGTGCTGCAAAATGAAAAGAAATAAAAATAAAATGTATTAATTCAGGACATGTTCAGGAAACTGGAGGAGCCAGCAAAGCTTCTTACAAACTAGAGGTAAATGGAAGAAAAATTCAGCTATGGGATCTGATAGTCAAGCAAGAATGAGGAATGTGGAATTGGACAAAAGGTTTTGAGCTTTTTGATGGTGAGTGGCTGCATTTTGTAAAGGAGGTGGTGTTTGACCTCTTGCTGTGTTGTCTTGTAGAACTACTGAGAGCTGATGGAGCGGAGGAGTGATTGCCAGACAGGGTTTTCTTTTTCTCATCAGGACAATTAATTTTGCGAAGGCAGATTTTTTTCAGTAATGTGTTCTGTTCTACCTAACGGCCATACTTCTACTTTCCTTATTTAAACTAAAGAAAGATTCTACAATACACGGACTTATACAAGCTGAAGCTGTGGAAATGGTTAGTCTGATCATGTGCTCCCCAGTCTGCAGAAGAGAAACAGTCTTTCCTTATTTTATATTATCCCCTTTATCTACTCTGCTACTTTGACTACAGTAACTGACTACAAGGCTTGCAGTGTATATCTGGTGGGTAAGTTAGAGGGACTACTGATTTCCTCATCATTAATATTATCTTCTAACAAACTATGAGAACCAACCAAATCGATCAGAAATGGCCCTGCCTCTAACATACTGTCTTTGTATGTTTTATTTTCTCATTGATAAAATGGCAAGAAATTTGCATTTTGAGTACCTATTCAGCAAAAGTAAGCAGTAATTTTGGTTTTCTAATTTAAAATCAGTTTAAGAATAGTGAAGTATTCAATGCCTTAGAACATGCATGACATGATTTTTGGAGTATTAAATACGTTTGTTCTTGTACTAGTTTCTGGTTTGGAACTGGTTATGTATTTATTCAATCAAGAATCGGTGGGCCGGCCCGGTGGCGCACTGCTACAGTGCGCTGCTTGGGAGTGCGGCGGCGCTCCCGCCGAGGGTTCGGATCCCACATACAGACCGGCCGCTCACTGGCTGAGCGAGGTGCAGGCGCAACACCGAGGGTTGCGATCCCGTTGCCAGTCACGAAAAAAGACAAAAAGAAAAAAAAAAAAAAAAAAGAATCGGAATTGGGAATACAATATTTCCCAATCAATCCCATTATTGCCTGTTATTCTTAGTGTGTTCATATCCAGCCTGGGAAAGGTACTTATAGCATATTCTTTAGGAAGCATGATATGTCATAATTAAATCAATGCAAATTTGAAACCAAAGATAAATGCAACCTGTAAACAATCTACCATGCAACCTGTAAACAATCTCTATGCAACCTGTAAACAATCTACTTGTTTGAGTCATTTACCACATACGTAGAGTTTTGTGCATGTATCTGGTTCACATCTCATCAGAGCCCACCCGCACACCACAGCTGGTCACTGTGCTTCCTAGGAGCTGCATCGCTCTTCAAAGCCATTGCCTGCTGCTTAATTCATCATGTAATTTCAAAGGCCTGACCCAAGCTGCATGGAGGACAGATCCCCTGCACTCACCTTGCATAAAGTTTCACAAAGGATTAAACAGTTGAAGAGTAAGAAAAGAAAAAAGCTATAATTTTGTATAAAAGATGAACAGATATTTAGTAAATAGTGCTTAAAAAATATAAAATTATGTTTAGTGCCTTCCCCATCATTATTTATACAAATGTTTTACCTCTTTTTGATGACAGGTTGTTTGAAGAACCTGAAGGAACTCAATGTGAGTTTCAACCATCTGAAGAGCATTCCTCCAGAACTGGGAGATTGTGAAAATCTAGAGAGACTGGATTGTTCTGGAAATCTGGAATTAACCGAGCTCCCCTTTGAAGTAAGAAATAAACGTTTCTGCACTATGATTTATTTTTATTTGATTTATGACATGGAATGGCCTATGATATGGAGAAAAGTTTTAAAAGATAAAATCTATCTTTATTGTATCACCTTTTCCTGACTTTTCAACCACCTTATACCAACTATTATAAGGTCTTTAAAAATGTTCTTGTAGTAGGCCAGGACCTGACTTTAAGTTCAGAAATGCTCTCAAAGGAAAAACCAGGCAAAACATCCTATTTTCACAGACATTTTTCTTCAATGCTTGTGGATGCCTGTAATTTATGCTGCCTGTTGTCTATAATGCAGATCCTGATTTACCTATCCAAAATAGTGAAGTAGGAAATAAATAAATAAAGGTGGAAAATTTCTTTATAGCAGAACTTGTAGATGATTAAAGTAGTCCTACAGATAGAATTTAAGAGTAGATGATTAAAGTAGTCCTACAGATAGAATTTAAGAAATCCATGAATTTAAAAGTATTTATTAGTTTCTTTTGGTCTGTATTCATGGAGAAATGATTTTAAATCATTTTCTGATAAAATGGAACAGATGATAGTGAACAATTTTTATTGCCAAATAAAACTCAACAAGCTTCTTGTGCTGAAGGGAGATAAGGATCTCACAGTTCTACTGGTAATGAATGGTCTAAAAATGGTTATTGCTGGTGAGGTTCTGAAAAGGCACTGACCACTGATGACAGTCCTAGAAGGGTGTCATTTTCCTTTCCTGAACACGGCTTCTGCTGTTGACACCTATCTCACTCCAGGAGATGCCTGGCAGCGGTCCTGGTGAGGGGATGTAGTGGGGGTCATGGTTCCCTGCACAGGTCTGCTTTTCTTCTAGTCTTTCCTAGTTCAGGAAATGGTTCAATATTCAATCAAAAAAACTTTTTTTGAAACATAATTGATTGTACATATCTTTGGGGTATAGTATTGAATATCCAATACCTGTGTGCAAAATGTCATGCTCAAATCAGGATAATTAGTACATTCAACATTATACAATGCAATTATTTTTGTGGCCCCTTATTAGTTTCTCACAAACACCCCCTCGCCCTCCCCCATTCCTCCCTCTGTGGCCTCAGTTCTGTTCTCTGCTTTTGAAAGTTCAACATATTATTGTGATTGTTGTTTTTCTCTTTCTTTCTTTCTTTATATATTTGCTTTTTTTTCACTCCCACTTATGAGTGAGAACAAGTGGTATCTCTTTCTGTACCTGCCTTATTTCTTTTTTTTTTTTAAAATTTTTATTTTGTCAATATACAATGTATATGATTAT